TTATCCAGCGCCGGGCTCCCTCGGCGCTGGTGATCTCTCCTCCCCCTCCGACATCAGCTCCCGAGTGGAGCCAAATGCGCATGCGAGGCCAGAGCTACGCACGCATTAAAAAAAGCCCATAGGAAAGCCTTTCTTAATGTTTTCCTATGGATGTTCTGCGTGCTCAATGTGATTTTCGCATTGAGCGCAGCAGAAGCGCCTCTAGCAGCTGTCAGGAAGTATGTCACTGTAGTGGTCCTTTAATACGAAACAGTATATTAAATAAGCCCATGTGCAGGACAATTCTTGCCCCCTCTGTGTTTCTATATTAACCTCTGAGAGCCAGAGGTGTCATCCCTAATATACTTTAAAGCAATTGTGTAACCCACTGGTTCCCAAACCAGTTCTCAAGGCACCCCTACCAGTCCAGGATTTAGGGATTACCAGTTACGTCTAAATCGCTCTTTTTCAGCTGGGTAATCTGCAAAGTCCTGGAATAGTAGGGGTGCCTTGAGGACTGGTTAGGGAACCACTGGTTTAACCATAATACATTTTTATTGAACCGATACCTCATTAACAATGAGCTAGAGAACAGGTATGGAGCTAATTTACAAAACCGTTAATTGTGGTTACTCATCAGAAACCAAAAGGAAGATTTTAGGTTAAATAAATAAAATTGTGTTTGAAAACCAGCTTGCAAAATGTAGGTGAAATGGACAAGTATCTGAATTATTTTTTTTTTCAATTGAACAGAATTCACTGTCAAATATATTAAGGTTTATTCATTGAACAAATAATTAAAACCCCATTTATTAACCTTTCTGTGCAGCCCCCAGAGAACATCGGCCACTTTGCACTATTCGAGCTTCCATATTCCACTGAGCCTGCTGTATATTGTCCAGTCGCTGTTCTATATTGGTCAGTTTGGTATTTTGGGCACCTTTTGTTGCTTCCAGCTGAGTGAGTCTCGTGTTGGCTTGTTCTATGTTAGCCTTGAATTGGGAGATGTCTGCGATGTTCGCGCGCAGCTCACCCAGCATTATTTTGAGGATTGCCACAGTAACCGGCTCCCGGTCATTGGTGGGTAAGGCAGTTGTCCATCCTGGGGTCTTAGTGAGGGTTAGTTCTACCTCTAGGTCTGTGGTGAAGACCTCAGAGGAATAGGAGGACCCATCATCTGGCGGCGCTGTGTTAGACGATGCGGCCTGCTGTGATCGCCTGAGGAGATCTACTATATCGCAGCTTGTGAGTTTCCTATCCGACTTGTTTTTTTTTGTTATACATCCCATGATAGCTGGTGCCGGTCCAGGAGAAGTTCAGGAAGATACACCGTTCAGGAAGATTTAATTGTAAATATTGCAGTTTTGTGTGGCAGATTGTCGGAGCTCACGGTATGTGCGACCGCTCTACTTCACTGCTAGCTTTGCCCCCCCAGCAAATGGTGTTTTAAGCTAACTAAAGTTGTTTAGGTGACTATAGTGTTTCTTTAAAAACTATTTGCTTAGGCAAAGTCTTTTTGTCTGAAATAACTTTTTGCCAAACACAAAAATATTGCAAGACTGTGGTTGGCCTTTTCATTCCCATAGTACCTGTAAGTCACAGCGTTTTAGATCGACCATCATGAGGAGTGTGTTTAGTTGGCTAATACAAACTGTTCAAACAAGCAGTAAAAATTGGCCAAACAATGTCTGATACCAGCACAGACTACATAGAAAATGTGGGGTTTATTCGCTAAAAATCTAAAATTATAGTAAATTTCAAGCTGAATTGCAAATTATGAGCAATAAGTGCTTATTATGACAAATCTCCAACTTGGCTATACCCGTGTCCAACTCAGCAATCAGTAATCAGCAATCAGTTTTAGTGAATCTATACAGCAGTTTAATATAAGTGTTTGAGTCTTATCTAGATTGTAAATTCCCATAGGACTGTCAACTCCCACCGTATTTGTCAAATATTTTTATTGTTTCTGTCTTTTGGAGACGTCCTGCAGGGAGCATAGAGCAATAGGTTTAGAGTCAGCTAAAGGTCAAGGGTTAGTTTAGTTTGAAGGGTTAGCTGGCTAAATCCAGTTTACAGCGGTTTAAATTAGGATATTCTCATTGGCTGTTAGTTTTTTTGGGCGGGTTTAGGTTGCGCAGAGGCAGGAAAATAGTAGGCCCTGATTGGATAAGATTGAAGCAAGGGGTGCACGCAAGTTAGTACTAGTTTATATATACCAAGTTTGAATTGCGTGGGCTTCACGCTCGGAGGAACTTACAGAACAAAAGGGAGAAGTTTTGAGCTTCCCACCGACCGATCTCTTTTATTTAATTTTAGTGTTTTTGGCTGGGGAATTGGGGGTAACGTCACCTCAAATACGAGGCTTACGGTTTAAACAATCTGGCTGGTTCAAGGGCAGATTGTTAAATTTAATTTTGGTGAATTGGTTATGAAATCAATTTGAAAGTGTTTTGTAATGCCTCTAACTACCCTCAATTCGGCCTTTCCATCCAATGCTAAATTGTGTCAGTCAGGGCCGGCCTTAGAAGTGTGTGAGCTGTGTGGCCGCACAGGGCACCATGGAGCAGGGGACGCCCTTCGGTCAACATAGCTCACACATTGCCGGCTACCCGGGATAAAATAAAATAAAAAACATTGCAGCGGGGCTTAGCGTGCGGTGGGGGCAGGGCTACATGATGGTGGGGCGGGGCTAGAAGTGCAGGGTAATTGCTGCATGGGAAGCAGGAAGGAGTCCCTGCTTCCCCAACAACCAGAATCAAGGAGCTGAACTACTTCCATCACCATAATGAATAGAGGTAACTGTGTGATTGTCTGCCTGTGTGTGTGACTGTGTGTGTGTGTGTATGTGTGAGTGCTGCCTGTGTGTGACTGTTTGCCTGTGTCTGTGTGTGTGTGATACTGTCTGCCAGTGTCGGTGTGTGTGAGACTGTCTGCCTAAGTGTGTGTGTGTGTGTGTGTGTGTGTGACTGTCTGCCTGTGTGTGTATGTGTGTGTGTGACTGCCTGTGTGTGTGTGACTGTCTCCCTCTCTTTGTGTTTGTCTGTATGTATGTGACTGTCTGCTTGTGTATGTGTGTGAATGTCTGCCTCTGTGTGTGTGTGACTGCCTGTGTGTATGGCTGTCTGCCTGTGTGCATGTATGTGGCTGTCTGCCTGTGTGTGTGGCTGTCTGCCTGTGTGTGTGTGGCCGTCTGGGTGTGACTGTCTGTCTGCCTGTGTGTAGCTGTCTGCATGTAACTGTGTGTGTGTCTGACACTGTATATATGGCTGTATGTACGTGACTGTCCATCTGTACCTGTGTGTGTTTGTAATTGTCTGCATGTAACTGTGTATGTGTGTGACTTTCTGCCTGTAACTGTGTGTAATGAATATTTATTTTTAAATCATTAATTTAATAAATCCCCTATACAATCACTACACTTCTATGCACACAATATACATGGATGAAAGGGGGGCGCTGCGGAGATGTTTCGCACAGGGCGCCTAAAGGCCTAAGGCCAGCCCTGGTGTGAGTTCTTATTTATTCTTATTTATCATATGGTATTTGGTTTGTTTATTTACAAATATGATCATATGAAGGACATTACTTTACCAATTTGTACTGAAGGACATCGAGACAGAATGTGTTGACACTTTATAAATTAAGAACTACTACTAAACTTCGATAACTTGACAAATTCTAATAATATTGAGCCGTTTATTAGGGTGTCCCTGGACACACAGAGCACCCCATCTAGGTATGTAGATAATACACAAATAACTGAACATATAACTAATCCAGAAGGACAACAAAGCTCCCATTGATAAGCTCAGGATAAACTGTTTTTATGATCAGCTGTGAATTGTCCTCCCCTCTATACATCCCAGGTAAAATTCCTCATATGTAAAGTATCTATTCCTTTTATCTATGGTATCAGCTGGTCAGAGCCATGTTAAGAATGCTGCTGTAGATAACCTGTAGTTCAACTTTTACATGTTTTTGTGAACACCTGGAAATCCTGATCCCAGGATGCCATTGCTAATCTCTGTTTAGTGATTCCATTCCATTCTCCCCTTCCTAATGGCTCTCAGCTCACTGTCCATAGAACCCCAGGGGCATAAAATACAGGTTACTCTTTTGTTCCCACAATCAGACTCTGCAATGGGTGATTTTTATAGACTGCCCCTCCTTGTGCCTGCCGAGTTCTGCCCATTATACACTAAACTTGTGCAATCTGTTCCAAACAAACTGAAATTCATCCGAATTTTTCGGCGATCAGGCTGTCCGAATTCCATAACTCCAAATCGCCATGTGACCAAATAGTTCAACGGAGAATGGATAAACAGTTTTATTTCATGATTCGGAGTACTGAGTAATTGAAATATTTATTCACAGATTAAGGGAGAAGTGACCAAAATAAAAAAATAATAATAATAATGTAAATAATATTTTTTTGTACTGCACCTCCACCCCCTCCCCATTGGTTACTTCTTGTCACTTGATCTGTGAACCAAATGCTTGGTGAGAAATTATACCTATCAGTTTACTGTAAAATATATCCATAATATTTATATTCGGATCATGTGTTGCAGTACACCGATTGGCCCATTTTAGTTTGTGTGAATCCTTTTTTCCTGCATTGTTGAAATTCTGAGGGGGTACATCATATTTACTCATATAATTACTGGTTGCACATTAACTCAAATAAATGAGCATGTGTTACAAATGTCAGCCAATGACTAAATAGCAGTTGAATTCCTCCAGAGCATGGAGACACAAAGACAATTCACCATTTTGCATTTGTAATAAGACACCGCACAGCCCAAGAATCCATTTGATGAATCCTCAATGATATGTAAATGTCCTTAGAAATCCCCTCCATCAGTCAACTTCCTCAATCATTGCCCTTCCTTCAAATCCTGTCACTCCCATCTGAAGGGGTTGGGTGTATGTTTTAAAATATTCAGTTTGGTCATAGAACATCAGATACCCCTTAACTGTGCACAGGTAATCAAGCAGTGTTTGCCCTTTGATAGTCTGAAGACGTCTTCCTATTAACTGCTACCATAACAACAATGGGACACATCTTTGCAGAACTAGGTAAGATATAAACTATAAGTGATCATTGATGGCCAGGAGCTGAATTTTATGGCAAGAGATAAGTTTAATTTATCAAAACTCTAGTTTGCCTATATACTAAGTAGCAGTTCTCTCATTGAACTCTATGCCAACAATTCTATTCAATAACCAGCTTATCTATAGACAGATAAGAGTTTTTTTTCTATAAATTTTTGTAGCTTTTGTAACATTATTTATTTTTAAACAATTTCGGTATATCTTAAACTGATTTATTGAATAGCACATTTGTCACCATGATTCTGATAAATTGTTTGGGTACAGGAATAATTACTGTTATGTTGTCGAAAGGGATTTGTAAATTTTAGGCCAAGGTACCAGAGCCTTATAAAGCCGAGGTAAGGACTTTTTCTGGTTTTGACTATTTTGGTCTAAATCCATTCTTTTTGCCTTTTCTTGCAAGTTCCAGGTTTATTGAACAACCACAACCAAACAATTGTTTAAACTAAAATCTAAATAAACATTCACTAGACACCTGATAGTTTTAATATTAACGGTGTCTGTATCCATTTCAATTGAACCTGTTAAGAGAAAATCAACTTCGCTGAAATCACTCCCGTATACACTGAATCCACCATATAATATAAAGATTCATGGTGTATTCAATTTAAAATATAACGATTTACTTACTTTTCCTCCATTCCAGCTCGTCTTTGATTTGCCCTGCTGGGATGCGTTACTTTTTTAATGATTAAAAAAGTGTCCAGACATTGTTTTACAATTGCTATTTAATTTTAGCCTCACAATAACCAATTTATTTTATTCATTAATAGGAATATGTCTATATAGTTTACTCCCTATACATGGTATTGTCCACATTTATTTGGAGGTAGAAGAGCTATGTAGACATATTCCTATGCTTGATTTAACAATATTTAGGGACAGATTTAAAGGAACACTATAGGGTCAGGAACACAAACCTGTATTCTTGACCCTATAGTGTTAAACCTACCATTTAGGTGGCTTGCCTCCCCCGTTAGCCACCTTAAACAGTAATATAACGCACCATATTACCAGCGCCATACAGGTCTACCAGTGCTGGCTTCACCTCCTGACATCACCAGAATTTAGAATTTTTAGCCAAGCCAATGCTTTCCCATAGGAAAAGCATTGGATTGGCTGAAATCAGCAAGGAGGTGGGGCCAACGCCAGCTTGGCCAATCAGCACCTCCTCATAGAGATGCATTGAATCAATGCATCTCTTTGAGGAAAATTCAGCACCTCCATGCAGAGCATACTGTTCAGCACTGCTCCAGGAAGCACCTCCAGTGGTCATCTAGTGGCCACTGGAGGTGTTCCTAGGGGACAATATAAACACTGCCTTTTCTCTCAAAAATTGAGTGTTTGCATGAAAATGCCTGCAGGGAAAGATTATACTCACCAGAAAAGCTACATTAAGCTGTAGTTGTTCTGGTGACTATAGTGTCCCTTTAAATACATGTGTATTAGACTGTGTCAATTTTAGCACCCCACCAACTTGCAGTCACCAGCTGCCACTGACTACCAGCCCAATACCTTCAGCTCATTGAAGTTGGTATGGTTACATGAGGGCCCATGCGCCATCTTACCTTAAGGGGTTTATTCCAACTGTTAAACCCCAAAATTGGTTCACCAGCTGTCTTCCTTTTTGCCGCTGCAGTATAAGGAAGCTTTTGCCAGGTGGTGCCTGCACTTCAACACTGGCCATCCGCTGAGAGAGAGAAAAGCAAATTATATGTGCAAAATGGTTTAACCCCTAAAAAGAATAGACAGCGCCCAGAATCTCCTGCCACCATAACCTGAACTGAAGTTGTACTGGGTGTCCTTAAAGGAAAACTGTCACCAATTTTTTTACTTGTCATTTTTGTGAAGGTATATTACATTTAATGAAACTTGATGATTTATTTTTTTAGATAGATATAGATGTGTATGTGTGTGTATATATATATATATATATATATATATATATATATTTTTTTTTTTACATTTCACTTTCCTTTTTATCTGACCATTTTTTTGCATTTTTCAAATATGAAATATGAACTCTAACTTTGGCCAGTGTTTGTGACTAGGTGGCTACTCGAAAAGACTGGATATACCCCATTTGTAATACCTTGGGTTGTCTACTTTTGTAAATGGTATGCCATCATGGGGGTAATTCTCATTCCTGGGCTACCATTTGAGCTCAAAGGCAACGTAACCAGTCTGGCAAATTTTAATGTAAAAAAACTGAAAAATATAACATGCTATATTTGACTTTGTAACTTCTCAAAACACCATAAAACCTGCACATTGGGGGGACTGTTTTACCCGTGAGACATCCCCGTGTACTTTATTGCAGTAACAGCTAACAGTATTGTGACATTCACAGTTAAAATGCCATGCAGAACTAAAAAACATTTTTTTTTCTTAATTTCTCATTTGTTTTATAATTTTATTCATATTAAATTACGTTTAATATACACATATTTGATGGGACATGAAAGCCCTGTTTCCCCTGAATAAAATGATATATGATAAGTGTGGGTGCACATAATATGAAGGAGGTGAATTACGCCTGAACAGACAAATAGCGCAAATTCAAGGTTTTGTTTATGTTTTGTTTTGATCACAACGTGTAGCGTTGACTCAGTCCTTAAGGGATTAATTTTGTTATGTGGATTTCAGTTTGCTACAGTTTAGCATTTCATGAAGAACCATGTTAGTGTGGGGCTTCTTATTTTATTTCTGTTTTGCATTCTTAACATTTTCTCTCCCATTGTTGCAGAATCTATGAATGATGATCATCTGAATGGTCAGAGTAATGAAGAAAATGCTGACCTAGAGATCAGCACAAATCTGCCACAAAGCGCAGCTGAAATTTTATTGAAATGGCTCTTGGATAATGGTCTTTACCCTTATGGAAACACTAAAGAGAATGCAGATCCGACCGAGTCGTCGGGTCTAACAAACACTCAGGTTAGTGATCAGATTCGATTTTTTAATTTTTTTTTTTTTTTTTAACCTTTTTAGGCATCAGAGTAACAGATAAAAATGTACTTCAGGGCAATCACCATGGAGACACTAAATGTGCATGTTTGGAACCTTGCCCTTTAATTAACACTATACTCACATAGAGGAATTCATCTCAATAAGTGGTCAGGGTGCTGTGTCCCAGTGGCGTACACATGACCCATGGGGCCCCGGTGCGAAAATTGATCCGTGGGCCCCCCCGCTTACTCAGCGCGGGTCGGGGCCGCAACACATGGCGGCAGGCACCTGGTCGCAGGGGTTGCAGGGCTGCTACCCCGCTACCGCGGTATGCACACACACTTAAAGGACCACTACAGACACCTAGATCACATCAGCTCAATGAAGTGGTCTGGGTGCCAGGTACCTCTAGTTTTAACCCTGCAGCTGAAAACATAGCCGTTTCAGAGAAACGGCTATGTTTCACTGAGGGTTAATCCAGCCTCTGGTGGCTTTCCTATGGGCGGTTTAAATGCGCGCGCGCCTCTTGCCGTGCATGTGCATTCGGAGCTGAGAGGCGGAGGGATCCCCAGCGCCAAGGGAGTCCGACGCTGGAGAAAGGTAAATGCTGAAGACACACACACACACTCTCATGAACAGACGCATACACACTAGCTAACAGACACACACATTTACTGACAGACACACACTCAGCGACAGACATACATACACACTCACTTACAAAACATACACTTTCACTGACAAACACACACTCACTAACAGACATCAAACACACTCAGTAAAAGACACACACAGTAACACACTCACTAGCAGACACACACCAATAACAGACACACACACTAACACAAACACACAAACACTAACAAACACAAACACACACACACAAACACTAACACACACAAACACTAACACACACACACACAAACACTGACACACACAAACACTAACACACACTCACTAACACACACTCACTAACACACACTAACACACACACACAAACACTAACACACAAACACATACTAACAGACACACAAACACTAACACACAAACACATACTAACAGACACACTGACACACACACACACACACACACACACACTAACACACATTTTTTTTTAATTTAATCCCCCCAGCCTCCTTACCTTTTGGAGAGCTGGGGGGATTCCCTGGGGTCCAGTGGTGCCGCTGGGCTGGCTGGCGGGCTGTCTGGCCGGCGCGCGAGGGAGCACACTGCCCTGAGTGTTTCCTCTTCAGCTCCCTCGCGCGCCGCATAGGGATGCCGGCGCCGGAAGATGATGTCATCTTCCGGCGCCGGTATCCCTACGCGGCGCGCGAGGGAGCTGAAGAGGAAGCACAGAGGGGAGAGTGTTCCCTCGCGCGCTGGCCACCCAGCCCGCCCGCCAGGGTCAGCAGGGCCAGCCTCGGGGGGGCCCCGAGGTGGCTGGCCCTGTGGGTACATACCGGGTCGCAGGGGCGGCCGGGCCCCCTGGTGGGCCGGGCCCGGTCGCGGCCGCGACCCCTGCGACCCTGGTATGTACGCCACTGCTGTGTCCCGTTTCTCAAAAACTGCAGTGTTTATATTACAGGGTTAGAATCACCTCCAGTGGTGGTCAGTATGAGAGCCACAAGAGGTGTTTTCAAGGCCGTGACAGAGTAAAACGTGATCACATGAAGCGGAAGCCCAACAGGAAAGCATTAATTCACTGCTTTCCTATGGAAAGGTTTGGATGTGTGCTTGCTGCGCATGTGCATTAGGTCCCCAATGCTCTTCTATGTGGAACACTGTATTGAACCATTGCCACTAAGTGAGGAGAGCTAAGCACCACCAAGGCAACCTCTGCGCTGGAAAAAGGAGAGTCAAAGAGGTTTTTTTTTTTAACCCTTTAGATGCTTAACCAGGGGGTGTATCTAATAACCACTAGGGACAGGGATACCATAGCAGTAGGAATACAGATTTGTATTTCTAATGCTATAGTGTTCATTTCAATTCATCACTATTTCAGTTAGTTGTAAGTCAACTTGTATAAAGGAGACATAATTTTAAAACGTAATTTTACAACTCTGACTGGTAGATTGAGGTTGATTTACGGCTTTTGGGTGACCTGTAACGTTGATATACTATTTTAAACACAAACCGGTTCTGATTAAACATTTAGTGGATGGTCTTTTTAAGGTGAATTATCTTAACTAGGTATCGTAATCAACGGTATCAAATCCCTTCACAAAGTCACCCCCTCTCTAAATGGCTATAGCAAATTTATCTTATAGGTTTAATACAGTATGGTTACCATATTTTGGACTCCAACTCATCCCGTACTAATTGTCTCATTACAGTTAGAATGGCAAATATAACCAATCACTAGCTCTACATTGAATTAATGTGTTGGTATTTCTGGTTATAGCCCCTATGTCACTTACTTTTCTGTATTTCAAACAAATGATCTGCTACGGTGCTTAATACGGTCAGAAAAGTGCACAGTTACAGCTCAGTGTCTGCATTTTTGGTCTGTGTATTGGGTGAGCACAGGTATGTGCAGCTCTTATAAAGCCAGACACCTAATGCTACTGTATCCTGTGTTTTTTTTATATAAAGAGTAGGGGAAGGGTTGGCTTTAATACAAATACCTCTTCTGCTCATTATGGTAGAGAATAAAAGTGAGTGGGGTTTTTAACTTACTTAATAAACATGATTTATGTTTCTATTCCCACTGACTTGTGTCTATCCATTCTCTGTTTACAGATATCTAGGTGGATAATAAATGCCAGAAGGCGAATATTTTCCAAAACATAAAAAAAGCTTGAGTTGACGGAAACAGGAAAAAGAAGATTTCTCCAAACATGCCAAAAATGAGTGCAAAGGTTGACCCAACTCCTTTGCCTCCTCATTGTAAATACCCCTCTATTTTAATACCCCCTATCTATGTTTTTTTTTTTTTAAATAAATATTTACATCTGTAAACCAATGTGGGATGACTTTTTATTTTTTTTTCCCTTTGTTAATTCACTGTAGTATTATTTAGTGTATAAAAATGGGAGAACAATGGAATAGAATCAATAGACCAAATTTCAGAAAACAAAATTTCCACTTTGGCTTATTATTCCCGACTAGTGATGTCCCGAACGGTTTGCGAACGGTTCGCCGCGAACGGTTCGCCACGGACTCATCATTGAGTAAACTTTGACCCTGTACCTCACAGTCAGCAGACACATTCCAGCCAATCAGCAGCAGACCCTCCCTCCCAGATCCTCCCACCTCCTGGACAGCTCACTAAGAATGCAGCTTCACAATGAATGTAAAATGGATGCTGTCCAGGAGGTGGGAGGGTCTGGGAGGGAGGGTCTGCTGCTGAGTCCTGAATTTTGGAATGCCGAACCGAGCCGAAAATTTTCCTATGATTGATTGATATTGCCGTTGCTGTATACACCCCTAGAAAAACTGTGTTTTATATATACGATGTATGACGTATTAAACCTTTGAATGCTTATTGATAATCCATCTGAAATGGTGTGACTTCTTTGAGTATTCCCAGCAGCTGTTTACAGAGACAAGGAAAGCATAAACATGTTAGTGCATAAGTCCATGGCAGCGTAAGGGTTTCCAGATCCTGTGGTGATTTTTCCAGCCTAACTCCCTTCTAGTGCCATAGAATCCACGATAACACATCCCCACTCTTATTAGGAACACATATTATTATTATTTTATTATTATTTATATAGCACTATTAGATTCCGTAGCACTGTACAATGGGTGTACTAACAGACATGTAATTGTAACCAGACAACTGGACGAACAGGAACAGAGAAGTGGAGGGCCCTGCTCAATGAGCTTACATTCTAGAGGGTTACAACTGATTTATTCTTAATGATGAAATTAATCTTTTGAGCAACCACAATATTGGACATTGTAAAAGGAGGCTGACACACACATTGACCCATACAAAACACACATACACACACTGACCGATGCAAACACACACATCAATACAGACACACACACATGCACATACACTATGTCCCATGCAGACACACACTGTCACTGACCCAGCAAGACAAACACTGACTCGAGCAGACTTACAGACTGACACACACAAACCCCAAGCAGACTGACATACACAAACAAACTGCAGCCTGGCAAACATTCTCTAAAGCGAGGTCCCTTCTTACCTTCATGGCAAATCACTTTGCAGTCCATGTGTTCGTCAGTCCCAGCCGCTTTTCCTGTTATGCTCCCGCCCACTTGTCCACACATGCAGGGCAAGGGGCGGGAGCAAGAAAATGATGCGCCCTTGCACTGCCACCCTATTAGATGGATGGCTGTGTTGTACCAGGCGCTAGTCAGCAGCCATGTAAGTGTTCCCAAGCGCCCAGTAACATAGCCAGCGGCACGCTGTAAATAATAAGTCTAACATAGGGGCGGCTAAACAGCAGTAAAGCCACTGCCAGTACCACCGGCGCCCCTTCTTAAAAGGCACCCTAGGCGGCTACCTAATTGGCCTACAGGGAGCGCCGGCCATGCACTCCACTATATGCAAATGGCAACAGTACATACAAATACACTACTACAGTCAAAAACACACATAGTCCATGCAGAAACATGCTTACATTCAAATAGAAATGTGTGCGAAGCATTGTATTGGACCATCAAAGGAGGAAGGCCAAACCTCCTCCATGACGGAAAAATACATTGGAAAAAGGTAAGACTTGTATTTTAATTTTTATTGCAAAAGGGGGGACATTAAAGCATTAGTAATACAGGTACAGGAAAACAAGGTGCAGAGGATAGATACAAAGGGTGTAATACTTTAAACTGTCACACTGTCTTTGGTTTGTGTTATAGTAACCCCTTAAAGGGACACTATAGTCACCCGAACAACTTTAGCTTAATGAAGCAGTTTTGGTGTATAGAACATGCCCCTGCAGCCCAATCCTCTGCCATTTAGGAGTTAAATCCCTTTGTTTATGAACCCTAGTCACACCTCCCTGCATGTGACTTGCACAGCCTTCCATAAACACTTCCTGTAAAGAGAGCCCTATTTAGGCTTTCTTTGTTGCAAGTTCTGTTTAATTAAGATTTTTTTTAACCCCTGCTATGTTAATAGCTTGCTAGAACCTGCAAGAGCCTCCTGTATGTGATTAAAGTTCAATTTAGAGATTGAGATACAATTATTTAAGGTAAATTACATCTGTTTGAAAGTGAAACCAGTTTTTTTTTCAGGCAGGCTCTGTCAATCATAGCCAGGGGAGGTGTGGCTAGGGCTGCATAAACAGGAACAAAGTGATTTAACTCCTAAATGACAGTGAATTGAGCAGTGAAATTGCAGGGGAATGATCTATACACTAATAACTGCTTTATTTAGCTAAAGTAATTTAGGTGACTATAGTGTTCCTTTAAATAAATATTCATTGCTTGTAGATTAAGCACTTAGGTAAACTGGTCATGGATGAAGGATCCAAGCTTCAAGAAAGTGCTCCCCTGCTTCTTACCGCCAAACATTTCACATGGAGAAAAAGGGACACATTAAATTTAGGCATTTGAGTGGTCATGGGGCTGTTCTGAGAAATTGCAAGTGACTTACTAATAACTACTTATGCAACTAAAATGTAATTTACAACAAGAATATTGTATCTTATTTGCACAGACTGATTTCTAAACAGATTTATTGTAGTTTAGACATTACTGTGAGTGTTAGTGCAATGGAGCTCTGTTATACACACAAAAAACACACTATACAAAATAGATATTAGAACAAAACACTGGGATAAAGGGATTTGGGCCCAAAATAGGGACTGTCCCTCCTTAATAAGGACACTTGGGGGATATGCTTAGTTTACAATTATACACCAACTCAGAGAACTAACCCATTGCACTTCAGGGATTTGAACCGAAAAATCCTTGATGACTATGAGCAAAACTATAGCACATTGATGGGACAAAACGTATCATTATAGCTTTATCATTGTTTCCTGCAAGTGAGATGGAACAGGTGGGTAATATAGCTCAACCTCTCTGAATTGTATGTTTATCTATCTATCCAGACTCAAAATAATGTGGATTTAGTTACAATATACGATCACACATTGCATAAGTGGGTTAATCTCCTAAGAGCAGGCATTAGGTTGCTAAAATAGGACGTTCCAATAATGGGGTACAATGGCGTTGTGACGGGCTTATGCAATGTGTGATCGCATACTGTGACTAAACCCCCATTATTTTTGACAAATTAAGTGTTTTTTTTTTTTTTTACATAAAAAACTTGTTAGATTTTGAGTGAGTGAGTGCGCTGGATTTTGTATGTTGTATTATTTAATCCCGGCAGCACCATTATAATGTATGCATGTGTAGGTGAATGCAGTCCTTTTGTATGTTTGTATATATTTACATACACACACATAAACTATGCTGCAATTTTAAATGTCTAGTGCCCCTCTCGACCATTGGGCTCTGGATGGATCCGTCCCTGGACTGACATCCATTTCCTCTCTCTATTTCCAAACCAGGGACAGACCTTTTTTTAGGCGTTGCCAGTGACAACATTGGGATGCCCCATTTGGCGTGCTCCCTGTCCTGACTGAATGCCTCCCAGTATTGGGATTTATGGAATTGTGTGTGCTGCGCTGTATGTCTGCTTCTAAACAGATTTATGTGAATGTAAGCTTGTATGTCAAACACAGATCCACTGGAATTTCTGCGCATTCAAAAGTGCTTTAGTAGTGCTCTGTTCATAGATATCCCAAGATGGCTTCACCCCTGGCGCCACCCCAGCCTGCCTCCATCTTGTCCCAAATTCATATCTCAGGGTCACTGTAGGATTCTTGTGACTCTGTTTTCTGCAGTCATGGTGCAATACCTACCACGACCACTTGCTTGTTGTGGCGCTGTTACACCCTTTGCACTCAGGCTGGAGACACCTGAACCTCAGACAGCTGCACCTGATTAACTAATCAATATTAAAGCCCAGCCTTTGCCATATATAGATTGCTGGAGAAGTGCTGCTCCCATGCTGGCTAGTATCTTAGCACTGTTTTTTTTTTTGTCATGGTTGTGTCTCAGAAGATCTGTTAGCCCAGAGGTCCTGCATCCATACCAGCTGGCAGTGGAAGTCCCAGCGGCCGCCTAACCCAAGGGCTCAACCTGCGGGGGAAGTGGCTGTTAAGGTGAAGACCCAGCTGGTGTGTGGTTATTCCCCCCCCCCATGTTCCTGTTAGCCAGCCTGCTTGCCCAATTTGTGTGTTGCTGAGGCCAGAGCTTGCCATGTTCCTGCATTCAGTGGCTGGCCATGTTCCTGAGGCCAGACTGCCGGCTCCTGAGTTCTTGGCTATCTTCACAAGAAATCCATTGATTTTCATTAAGTATCTCTCACTGTCAAGTACCTGCCATTATAGTTAACTTGCATTTTGTAGCTTTGTGTGTGTGTGTTCGCCCTCTTAATTGTCCGTTGTATAATTATTTGGTGTTTTACATGCATTTTGTTTGGATTCTTTAAACCCCCCTCACAGCAATAATACTCACAGTAATGTGTCTACGTTGTTCTGATTTTGGATTTTAAGTTGCATAAATTTAAGTCCGCTCTACATTTTAATTCGTTACAGGCTTGCTCCTCGCTACAGCCTTATATTCTTTCTTGGTTTGTGATTTTGGGAGTAATCTATGTAATATGCAGGTTAAAATGTCCAAACCATGGATACTTAATTAGTAGTAAAATAACAATGTAATGCGGGGTGCTGGTAAGGGGGTCCCAGGCCACTAACACGCAGGAGCTATGGGCTGCAGCCCCAAACCATCTTTCTGCTGATAAGCAATGTGAGGCCTGCATGGATGTGTAATTACTGCTACCCCTCTTCTGTAAGGATTTGTACAAGGTCTCTGTTGGCACCAGCACTGTGTGGGTTTGTGCTTGGTCTGGAGATCATAAC